CCGAATAAGTAAAGGAGGGTTTCACTTGTAGAATTACAAAAAATTAGCAGTAGTAGATAAGTTAACGTTCTCCAAAAAAACTTGGAAACTGATCATTTCACGCCGTTGATTTGAGCAGAAACGAAATGTAAAAAGGTGCATAATGCAGGGCAGATCCATTGTTCTCTTCATTAATTCACTTGCAATTGCCATCGTGTTTTGCGTAAAAATTAAACGGTGGTTACACGGCTACGTGGCTAAGCGAATCGCCTCTACACTGAGTGAAAATAACTCTACGCACGCAAACTAAACAAAAACAACCCATGCAATGTATACCTCGGTTCTATAAACGTGTGCAGACAAGTCATACTTTTCAGATCAGTGATTCGTTTGAAGTGAAACGTTCCCACCTGACGGCGTAGCCTGCCACGTAGTAGCCGCGTCACATCACGTAGGTGTGTAACCACGTAACATCACGTTTACACGTAGCCACGTAACATCACGTTTCCGCGTAGCCACGTAACATCACGTAGCCACCGTAGCCACATACTGCCACAGCCTAAACACATGCATTGTTTTATAGGGGTACAGCTTTGAAGTGGCTGGGTGTTCTGCATTGAGGTGGCCGGAGGAGACACTTTGACAATGAACAGTCACGTGACTGATGGCCAAATTGTGAAGTTTCAGTGTCAGTTTGAGTCCAGCAATCAGAAATCAGCCGGGGAAATGTAACTAATTAACACTTGTCATCCTTATTTGCAGGAGCAAGCTGGGGGCGTAAAGGTCATTTAGCTTTTGTTTTCATTGTTTTTGTTGTTGTTTTTGTTTCGACCGTTTCAAAGCCAAAATGTTCATTGAGGATTTTGAGCCTCGAAAGAATAAATTAAGAGGACTTCCACTTTTACAGTTTTTAAAAATCCATTAAAAAGCTTTTTTTTCACTGTAACAGAATTGAGTGTGAACACTCGATCGAACCATGAACCTGAAAGGGGTTTGTTGTTGTTGTAATCGTTATCTTTCATGTTTTTTGTGTGCTTTTGGGGTTTTTATTTTTGCTGATTATCCATTGAAGAGGGCACTTTACAAAACCAAAACGGATTAGCAAATAAATTAGTGAATCTAATTAGGAAACAGGCATAAAAATCGCCTTGTATGTATCTAATAAAGCAGCAAGCTGTTTCATATGAACATTTCGATTTTCATGGAAATGATTTTACTGCGACGACCAAATCTAAGCGAGTAGCGGAACACCACGAAATCTGTTGTTGATCTTTCAATACAATCAAAAGGATTCTGCAGAAGGACCACTGTTGGATACTAAGAAAGCATACAATCTGAAAAATATCTAGTTTCCATCATGATTGTAATATATGCATAAATACAGTTAGGAAACATGCCTACACGCCGCCTCACATATAGCTAAGAGACAATGGTGGTAATTGTTGAGCCTCGCCTTAGGTAATCCCTCCTAGGTCATGTCTAGATCAGTCACTCCCACCCAGCCTCAAAAATCTCAGATGGGTTTAGAAATCATGCAGACGATCCCGAGGCTCCCAATTTACTCACATGGACAGCCCAACCGGATTTACCCTCAATTTTATCCTTCACGAAAACATCTAAGGCGCGCGGTAACATTATCCGCGGAAGAACTGGGTACTGTGTCTAAAAATAACTCGAGAGGGTTTACCAAGGCGTATGTTGGAGACAAACTTTCTCACCCTTCATCTCCTCTTGTTATTAGATATAGATTATAAATCAGCAGGGTGCTTTGCAGATCAAACATCCTACTGAATCCCTATTAAACTGACCCGAGAGAAAATGCCTGACTGCATCTAAATGAATTTCACAATTGTAAGACTTTGCATTGTAGAAGCCACAGGATAACTGAGGTTCTCTAAAGACAGTGTCAAGTTTCAAGAAACCCACGCAAATTAAAAAAAACTTAACAGTTATAACGTCCACTGCGACTACACCTGGAAAGCCTCACTGTAAACTTGTGGCGCAGTTCCTAACACTTCTTTCCTCCAGATATCCGGGTGAAAAGTCATTTTATTTAGAGAAAAGCCGAGTTTTAAAGTTTCTACAGACGTCTTTGAAGATGAACACAAATTGTCAGTTGCCCCGGCAACTTTCCTCCCCGCAAAAGAATGGCGCATACACATAACAGATTTGAATTTAAACTGCAATTTCAGTTGACATCAAGAATTTTGCCGCATTTCACAATCGTAGCAAAGGAAAGCCTGTCTTCGAATGATGAGTGAATTTAAGCCTGTTTTATCCGCACCCCAAGTCCCAATTTTTTTTAGAAACCTCGTTTTATTGAGCCGGGAATTCTAAATTGAGTTCTTGTGATACAAAGTTTCATTTGTTTATTTGTTATTGACATTTCCAAAAGACTAGCATTTGAACAACTACATAAACCATTTATATGAATATCACATATGCATATACTTGGTAGTGAAACATGTAGCCAACGTTTATGTTTAACACTAGATCATTACAAACTACTCAAGCATCTTTCACGGCTTACGATTTACGATAAAATAGTGCAATTTATCAACTAAGAGAGCCTCAAGACGTGTCAAATAAAACTACTTACTGCATATGACCAGTAACAGCTGTTTCGTGTTGGCTACAGTCGGAGACGCTGGCTTATAGGGCTTAAGAGCATTAAAACCTACCGGCGGCGGATTCGACGGAGCTCCGTGTGTTTCAACGTGAGATAAACGTGAGCCCCCCGAACCTGGTGCCCGGCTTTGTGTACTAGTAGTGAATTGAACGTGGCCGCGCTGCATGTGAACCATAATACATAATCATAATTAGCCCTTCAATAGCATTTGATTGGCTGGCGTCCGTCAGCTGTCCGCCCTTTTCTAAACCTAAAGCTGCTTTTTAAAATATATGTTC